GAGCTTTTGGGACACCCTGTACATTGCAAAAATATTTTTAAAATGTGCGCTCGGTAGGCGTCGGACAATTCATAAAATAATACTTTTAAAAAATCAAACGGTTTAGCCGCAAACTTCCGTGCCGTATAGCGTGAATAACCCTGTATATTTTTAGACAGATCGATTGCATTTTTTTCCTAATTTCAGAAATATAGATATATTGCCTAGATTTGTATTGGCTGTTTTTTCTGTATTACTGTTTTAAAAAATTTAAATATCAACAAACTAAAGTAGCCTGAAATGGAACATAAATCTATGTATAGAAAGAGAACAAAACGGAATTTATTTCTACTATAAATGTCAAAACAAATAACTAAAAATAAAATCTTTGATTTTGTGTATGACCTCCGTTAAACGCTATAAATGCTCTATAGCCTATAATCTACTTCAATTTTATCTATAACATTTTTAATATATTGGTTAGGATTAATATTAATTAATAGCATTACTTAATTGCATCCACTATTTTAAGGCGTCTAACTAGAGCCTCATACACAATATTCTTTAAATAACCCCAGAAAAAAGAATCAAGAGGCGTTAGGTCGGGACTATTTGGAGGCCATTGGGTAGGACCCGCTCGATTCATAAATTAATATTTTCATAAAAAAAAATTGCTACCGGACGAACGCTATGGGGTGGAGGCCTTGTCGAATTTCAAGGCTGCTTTAATTTTTTGCTATTTATAATTTTTAAAACGAAATACAAAACTTTCCGAGGTTGAATTATTATGGGTTGAAGTTTCATATTTCTTCAAGAATCTTTAGAGATGAGTCAATATTTGGCGTTCTAAGGCGAATAAATTATAGGAAAAACGGATAATATAAATATAGTCAAAATACGTATTTTTGAAATCTGGAAAAAAACCCTATTCAAGGGTATGCCTAAAAACATATTTTTTTTATTTTATTTTTTTTTATTTAAAAAAAGGCTTTAAGTCAAATTTTCACATTTCCGTGTTTTATATTTTTTTTAAATTCAGATTTAAAAATTGTGAATAAAATTAAACAACTTTTGTGTTGGTTGTCAACTTATGATGAAACACCCTGTACATATTGCCATTCCTAGTAAGCTGTAGTTGAATACATTCATTTTCAAATTTTTTATACTAAATTATTTTGATCTTCTGTAAGTCTTCTTTTGTCTTAAACTGTAAAGTAAACTATAAATAAATTTGTAACTTATTCGAAAAAAATTTGCTTACCCGTGAGTTTAAACGGAACGGATCCCTCATAGTTGAACCAAAGACAGGCAACCACTGAAGACACGAAGACAGTAAGCGCATTTTTTGATATTGAAAGTAACCAAAGAAGTTTTTTGGTAGTCAAGTTGCTGCTTTTGATTTTACCTAGTTGCTAAAACCACAACATTTAGAGACTTGGAAAACGCCAATGTACAGCGACTTACCTTAAAGCCCATTAGAAACACCACACATGTTACCCCAAGCAGAGTATCGCCAACTTTAATCTCCTGCACTTTGCTTAAAACTTCTTGAAGTGCCGGGAAAGTTGAATTATTCTTTATTGATATTCCTAAGAAGCCTTTTAGTTGGGATATTATAATTATTATCGAAGTAGCCGAGGTGAATCCACTAGTGAGGCAAGGTGACATAAAATCAACTAGAAATCCTAAGAAAAAGGAGTATGAAGAATATTATTGAATAACAAAACTCGAAGAATCTACCATTTTTCTGTTCATACAACTTTCTATTATTATAGCTTATAACCGCTGCTTTTTAATAAGAGAACGATTCATGAATGAACATGGTCAATTTTCATGTTCTACACAAGAGATAAAAATTAATTTCGAAGCAAATTATTTGAATTTAGATACCCTTACCAAGCTTGAACAATCCCATAGCTAATTCTATGCAACCCGCTAAAAACGTTAGAAGAATAACGTATTCCACTGGACGACCAACTACATAAGAAAAAGTGAGTAATGCCATCAGGCTCGTAGGCCCAATTGACACTTCTTTGACTGAGCCAAAGAACACATAGGTAAAGGAACCGATGAAAGCAGTGTAGAGGCCTGAAATGAAATTGAGGATGGAAAAGCATTTGAGCCGACAGCAATTTCTACCATATTGTGGCTGTAGTCCAGCTAATCCTGCATATGCAACTGACTGGGGAATCATCGTCATTCCCACTGTAATTCCGGCAACAAAGTCAGCGATAATGTCTTCTTTGGTATAGTGAGGTAGCCAACTTAAGATCGGGAGTCGTTTGAAAATCAATTTTTTCATTGATCCGTTTTTGACTGTCTGGCTGCTGGAATCTGCCACAGGTTCGGGCACTAAAAAAATGCAACGGGTTTTTCCAAAAAATATAATTATATGAAATTTCTTCAAGCTTGATATTGAAATTTTAGTGCATAATGTGATGATGTTGATACTCTGATTGACCCCACTCGCTTGGTATCAACGAATTAAAATCTAGGTTTGTAAGTGAATTACTACCAATTAAACCGCTAGAAAATATTACTTAAAAGGCCTTTATAAGAGCGATTAAGCGCATCAAAGCAGCTATCTTTGATAATATGAAGCCGAATTAATATTGGATTTGTATGAACGTTGAAGGTTTAGTGATCTCAAATCGATAGATTAAAACGTTTTTAAGTATTGTTTTTAACAATTTACATAACATTGTTTCAGCTAGGTTCCATTGTTTTTCTTTCAATTTCTATAATTTATTTTTGAAAACTTCATTTACATTATGTGCTGCTTTGAAGCACATAATGTAAAACTCTGTATAAGTTTAATTGTTAGGAAAAAAAAAATGTAATACGATTCAATAGTGTAATGTTTACTTATGAAACGGATCTTCCTAAAATGTATTTACGTCGGGTGACAATATAATGAAATTGCAAATGTTTGCAAAGATTTACTGTAATAACACGAATTGCGTAAACAAGTCTATTGAGAATAACGCAAAATTATCAAAATTGTTGAATGTAAGTGAAACATTTTAGAATATAAAAATCAGGAGCAATAAGAACATTCCAATTAATATCTAGAAAATTTCATTTGGAATGATTTGAAGCTAACGAAGCTTTGTTGAGATATAAGAGACATTGAAAATTCTTAAATTTAATTACCTACTATTTTAGATATTTTGACACTTTTTACCAGCTCTTGATGTGATTTTTAAAATACATCGAAAATGTTCTGGAATCGAGCTAATATTGATTGTGCAACATTGAACAGTTGAAAAAAGTTAAAAGAAAACAGTTGCTAACATAGAAATGCTTTTCTCTAGATAATGCGCCACAACTTTTTTTTTAACGCCACTGCGTTTGGTGCATAATACATGGTTTTACAGCGCGTCAGAAAATCAACTTAAATGTACATAATTAATGTACTTACTTTTTTCCAAAATAGGTGACACTTTTTGAATCGTATTTCTTATACGTGACCGTTATATATAAGCTTGTCTGTGAAATGTTTAAATGGAAATTTAGAATAGTTACTTTTACCTTGTAATAGTAATCTTCCAATTGTGTTAACTCAACATAAAACAAAGCATTAAGATAACCATAAGCGTTCCTAAATTAGGCTCTTTTCAAAATTACACAGTGTAAGAGACAAAATCTATGCAAAGAAAATTAAAGTTTTAGATGCTGAGCTGTTGGATTGAGCAGAGTTTCATTATTAATGTTTCTGAGGTAAATATCCGCCCTGTTGATAGCACATACAGGGTGGTCCTCAACTAATGTCCAAAAACTCACTGGCATTTTGTTTAGGCAAAAATATTGCTGTTTTAAACACTTTTTTGTTATCCGAAAGTTAATAGATTCCTAGATACAGAGTTTCAAAGTGTAACTAAAAATTTGGTTTTTTCTGAATAGATTTTTAAACAGTTTTGCTAGTACCACAAAAATTTGTGTTTGGGGGTTTTTTAGATCGGCAAATCCAAATTCCCTATTGATTGGCTTGTGGTTTCTAGAGGGCGCTAGAGGCTGCAATAGTCTGGAGCTATTTAAAACATCAGAACTTTTTTGGCTTTTAATATATCGCTTTTTTGTTGGAAATATCTGGTTCTCCAATATTTCCGAAACTAAAAGTGTGTACTTGATTCAAGTCGATATCTGTCCCCGTTTTCGCGATATTTCATATTGAAACATCTAGTCATTTTTTGAACTAGCTCAAATTAGATCCCTAATATTGTAGTAAATTGACTTATATTGTCTTATGTTTGTTAACTTAACTGTCTAATGTTTGTTAAGTTTAGTTTAATAGAAAATTTGCGGAAAAAAAATATTTTATTTAGACATCCAAGTTGAGATAGATTTTCAATTAGTTCATAAAATCACTTTATGTTTCAATATGAAATATCTCGTAACCGGTGAGAGATATTGACTTCAAACAAGTATACATGTTATGTTTAAAAAATATCGTAAAATGTGATTTTGCCAACCGTATGACGATATTTGAAACGCCAAAAAAGTTCTGATGTCTTAAATTGCTCCAGACTATTGCAGCTAGCGGCTTCTAGAAACTACAAGCCAACCAATAGGAAATTTGGATTTGCCTATCTAAAAAACCATCAAACAGAAATTTTTGTGGTTCTAGTAAAACTGGTTAAAAATCTATTCAGAAAAAGCGAAATTTTATTTACATTTTGACACTCTGTATCTCGGAATCTACTAACTTTCAGATAAGAGAAATTTGCCTAAAACGCAATATTTTTGCCTAAACAATATCAGTGAATTTTTGGACATAAGTTGAGGACCACCCTGTATAAAGCACTGATTTTGAAAATATTAAACTATATACCTAAATTAAAAATACTGCATCATTTGACAATTTTTATTCAACAAAAACACGTCAATTACTACATATTTCTTTATACATAGCCAAAATCAGTTAATACAACTTAACAGAACTATCCAAAATAAAAAAGCTGTATAGGATAATTTCTACCGTGAGATAAACTATAACAAAAACGCTATAAAGTAAAATCAACAAGAATTATTGCCAAAATACTACCTACCTATAGAGTATATGTATAATGAAACGATCCTACTGTAGTATATGGCATTACTTCACCACTTTTCTTACAAAAATATATTCGCTTTCTACAAAATCTATATCTATACAACAATTATATGGCGCGCGTACATCAGAAACAGTATGGCATGAACATATCATATTTCCACCACGATCTCAGTGACTTAATTTCTTAATTACAGTACAGTATTAGATGTTGAAAGCATAAATATGCATAAGTTTTGACTTCATTTGCTTCATCTTTTTCTACAGGGTGTCCCATCAGGAACCGCCGCGATCGATATCTGGCAAACTATAATTAGGAGAAATTTGTGTGCCGAAGTCATTGGGGACAAGCGTCCTAAAATATTTTCAAGATGGCCACACTTTATACCGGTTACACGGTTATACCGGAAGTAGGTATCAACGTGCTTATTTTACATGGAACGCTCTATATATTATAAATTTTTAAAATTCTACTCCGAATTCTAAATATATTTCGTGAACAATATCCTAATCCCTAGGTCTAACCGTTTTTGATATACATATTTCAAATGGTATGTAAAAAGATGACAGGAGCAGCCACTCGAATAATTATTCATTTTTCCTATAAGGGAATATATTCTACTTAATTTGAGTATCAATTCTTGTTTAAAAGCATGTACTTTAATGGAATTTCGACCACATAACTATTAATACAAAGTGTTAAAAAAATCACTTTCAAAATTACAAATTTCAAACTAAACCCCATTCTTGATAATTTTATCGCACCGCATCTAAAAACTTAAAAAAACTGCTTCTAAAAATTTTGCGGTTTGATTCATTTTTCCTTGTGCTTTCGAATTCGTAGCAGTTGACATTTCTGTAAAAAAATTAAAGCAAAGAAATTTTTTTGAACAGCGGATCTTTCGGAAATTGTTAAGATTGTTTTCATATCACATATCTTAGTTTTTATTGCTCTTTCAATTGATAGTAAAAACTTGGAAATCGGTAAAGCCGTGTCGGAGTTACAGGTTTCTTTGCATTAAGTGGTTTGACTCTCCCCCCACCGTTTATTTCACAAGTTAGGAAAAAAGTTCATAAGGAAAGTAATACGGTTTTCATGATCTTTTGACTAAACTTTAACTTAAAAAAAATGATGTTTCACTTATCGGGAAATTATTTTCTTCAAGTTTGTACCCAACTTTTTTTGGACACTACACCAAATACTTTCCAAGATACAGCCGTTTACCATCCTTATTGCGACACCCGGCATATTAAATACTGTTATATTATTTATTAAATACTGTCTCTCTTAGTTGTCATGACAAAAGTGGCCGAAAGTGGTCGAAAATTTCTATAACCATTAATATAAAATAAAAAAATAAGCTTCAAAGTGACGTTGAGACAACTGCCCAAAATCAATTTTTTCAAATGGAAATCCCCATTGATAATTTTACCTTAGTTTGTGTACAGTTGTCTATTCCAAAAGTCTTTAGTTTTCGAAATATTGTCAATTTAATGTCTTCATATGGCTATTTTTTCGCATCTTATTTTAATACTGTCACTCTTAGTTGCATGACGAAAGTGACCATTTCTAATGCAATCAAATGCCAAACGAATATTTACAGCTGTGAGTTAGCTAATGAAAATAATTAATAATCATGCCCAGACAGCTTAAATTATACAAAAGAAGATTATTAAAATTATTTATGGAGAATGTGATAGGATTATAGTGACTGTATATTCAGAACATGTGACACATTTACCATTGAATATTCACAAATATCTAAGCCCAGCGCGAAGGCTATATATGCTGTTAAACAACATATAGAAAATTTCAAGAATATTGGAGAACCTTAGATTTAATAAAACGGTGTTTTCAGTAAATATTCAAACCGGCGTCTTTCAACTTCCAAACATGTTTTACATCTGAGCAGCACTTGTTCATGGGTTGCTTGACTTATTGATTCGGGAGTTAAGTTTGCAAATTCATTGCTCACTCGCTGCATGCAATCTTCCATAGTTGTAATGGGAATTTTATAACCTTGATCTTTAATTGTAGCCTATATAAAAAAATATTTTTGTGTACCACCCAAATTGTGTAAATAGTGGGTTTCCATATTTTCTAAAATGTTCAAATAGCCTTCACCTATAAAGTTTATAAGTACATTTTTATCTAGAGTGGGCCAAAACAGGGCTAACATACAATTTAAATTTTCTTGATAAAAATGTAATACCACGACGCTATTATTTCTAATTACACAGTAAACATTAAATTGTCAGGATTCTTGAACATGTTGCTCTCTGAAGAAATGTAAGTAAATTTGAATTGCTTCAATAATGGGAATGGTTGTTGATTGTGTTCTGTTTCCTTGTGACAAAATCATCAGAAATTCACATAATGCCCATCTTCTTGTAAGAATTAATTTCTTTCAGATGTTGAACTATGGGCAACGCCTATGGATGTAATTTATGCTTACGTAATATTCTGTGAACTATTGATTTGGACAATCCTGACTCTAACGCAGCTTGTCTTACCGACATTGTTGGATATGTGGAGAAATATCCCAAAATAAAAATTTCTATGAAATCATTATTGACGAGAGGTTTATTTCTTTGCACCATTGCCTTAACGGATCCAAAATTCTTGATAGTAATTTGTCTAACCTGACAGCGTGAAGGCTGCTTTTTTGTATATCGAATGGCAAATGTGTCACATGTTATTGATGTAACTTTTATCACATTCCCCATAAATAATAAATAAGTTTAAATAATCTTCGCTTACATAATTTAAGCGTCCCGACATGATTACTAATTATTTTCAAAAAGTAACTGACGCATTCCTTTGGCATTTGATTGTATTACAAACGGCCACTTTAGTCATGGCACCTGAGAGTGACTGCATTTAAAACAGGATGCGGCAAAATAGCCATACGAAAACATTGAATTGATAATAATTTGAAAACCAAACACTTTTGGAATAGACAACTTTACACAAACTAACGCTTATTTGAATGAAGAAATACGATAAAACTGATTAAGATAATGACTTGAACTGAACTGAGTAAGGGATAGCCCAGGGCATTCTAGCGACAGGCCAACCAAACAAAGTAAGATAAAGGACTACTGGCTAAATCCACCTGCTGTAGCAACTAAGAACAGATTTGAAGGTCTAACAGAAGAAAGCTTAAACTACGGTGCCATAGTTAAAGATATAAAACCTAAAGTTCCACCTTTATTTGTTTACGGTTGTAAAGCTATTAAGCCATTAAGCGAATTACTGGTGAAAACAGCGGGAAACGACTTTCAACTTAAAATACTTGCTAACGACCAAGTTAAGATACTACCTAAAACGTCGGAAAAATATACCTTGATTAAAAACGCCTTGGAGGCAAAGAAGACTGAATTTCACACTTATCAGCTTAAGGAAAATAAACCATATAGGGTGGTAATGAGGGGAATACACTACTCGACTGATATCGAGGAGATAAAAA